TCTAGGCAGGGGCTCTACCACTGAGCCACACCCCCAGCCCCTCACTGGGGGATTCTAGGCAGGGGCTCTACCACTGAACCACACCCCCAGCCCCTTCCACTTTAACTCTCTAGACCTGCCCTCCCATCCCTCATACTGAGAACTCCTCAGAGAAACCTTGAAGGCCTCTAACATCTTTGCTCAATTCCATCTGGGTCCCCATAGAGTGGTAGAAGGAACCGGGAGGTTCTGACCGCTGATCCTTTGCCTTTCCTGCGCCCTGCCCCCAGGAAAACACAGGAAGACTGGCAGAGATGTTGCGGTCAAGGTCATTGACAAGCTGCGCTTCCCCACCAAGCAGGAGAGCCAGCTCAGGAACGAAGTGGCCATTCTCCAGGTGACCCACAGGGCCCGTGACCCGGCCATGCCCTTGCATGCAAAGAGCCCGCCCTTCCGCTTACTCCTTTTAAGCATAACCTGTTATGAGCCACAGTCTAGGGATGATCAAGTTAGGCTTCCTGGAAGAAAAGATGTCCATGCCGGAACTGAGAAGTGTTCCGAGCAGAGAGGGACCAGGACCAGCCCATGTAGGTGACAGGAAACCCTAGAGCCGTGGAAGAAATGAGGCCAGGGAGGAGGGCAGAAAGATACCAGCGGGCTTTCTTCTAAAGGTACCTAGGGAGCCATAGGAAGATCTTGTGGGCTAGGGGATCAGCGGTAGAGCACTTGCCTACCATGCATGAGTACCAGAAGGAGAAAATGAATCAAACAGAAGCCAAAGCAGCAGAGCTTGCTATCTTCCCAAGCTTCCTGCCGTACCCTCCTGCCGCCCAGGCCTTACCCCTAAGTTCACACGCAAAGACCCTCGAAGCGCTTTCCACCTCTTGCCGTGCTGATCCTCAGTCCTGACCCCTCTTCTCCCGTTTCCCGGACAGAGTCTGCGGCACCCCGGGATCGTGAACCTCGAGTGCATGTTCGAGACCCCTGAGAAGGTGTTCGTGGTGATGGAGAAACTGCATGGGGACATGTTGGAGATGATCCTCTCCAGTGAGAAGGGCCGGCTTCCTGAGCGCCTCACCAAATTCCTGATCACGCAGGTGCGCTGCGGGCCGGCCTCGGGCGCCCCCTGGCGGAGGCCGGGAGAACAGGCTGGTGCCTTGGGCAGAGAGTTAAGAGAAATAGATGGAAATCGTATTAATAGCAACAAGAGATAAATTATGGAGGGACTGAAGCGGGGTGTGGCGGCGCACGCCTTTAATCCCAGCACTTGGGAGACAGGTAGATCTCTATGAGTTCAAGGCCAGCCTGGTCTACATAGTGAGTTCCAGGATAGCCAGAGCTACGTTGTAAAACCCTATCTCAAAAAGAAAGAAAGAAAACGACACTCAGGTCTCAGTAAACACCATATTATTGCTCTCCCTGTGTCAGCCCTGCCCACTGTGGTGACAACACCCACCATCCAAGCAGACTAAGGCTATCTTGGTCACAACTGTGTCTCAAGTGCTCCCCAACCTGGGACAAGCATGGAGCAGAATCTGGCAGAGCATTGGTGGAAGAACCTAGTGAAGGATTGAAAGATTGAAAGAGGAGGGGAAAGAGCCCATTTGCCCCTTTCATAATAATAGCTCTTATTGACCCTGTTTTAATAAGCTTCCCAAGTGCTGGGATTAAAGGTGTGCACCAGTACTCCTGGCTTCATTTTCTTTTCTGAGAAAGGATCTTGTGTAGCCCAGGCTAGCCTGGAACTTGCTATGTAGATGAGGATGATCTTGAACTTCGGGTCCTCGTGCCTCTCTCTATTCCCTGAGAGCCCAGATTATGGACCTGTACCACCATACCCAGTTTGTGCAGTGCTGGGACTCAAACCCAGGGCTTTGTGGGTGCCACAGAGAGCAGAGCCACATCCCCTGACATTTGCATATATGTATATATGGACTCCTATAGTCCAGGCTGGCCTCTGACTTGCATCCAAAGATGGCCTCGAACTCCTGCTCCCCCGCCTTCACTTTGCAAGTTCCGGAAGCACGGGTGTGCTCCACTGCGCCCAGCTCCTCACTGGCCGAGTGGCCAGAGCTGTGGGACAGTTTGAATACACCTCTGGGCAGCCCACTGGTTAGCTCCGTTGGGAGAGCGCTTGCCTGCCTAGCTTGCACCCAGCCTTGAGCTGGGGCTTCAGGATGAACTGGGCATGGTGGCACAGGCTGCTACGGGAGGCGGGCGGGGAGATCTGGAGGTCACGGCCATCTTTGCCTGTGTAGTGAATTCGAGGCCAGCCTGGGCTACCCGAGAGCCTGTCTCAAGAAATAAAAACAATGTTTATTGTCTGAAACTTTTTCCATCTTTTCCCACCAACCAAGTGGGAGGATGTGTGCTTTCACACTTCTTACTAACGCTGGATAAAAATAATTGCCAGGCTCAGGAGATTTCATATCGGCTTTTGGCTTTCTGAGACAGGCTCTCATGTACTTGATGTTCGCCTCGCATGATTCTCCTCATTATCCGTCCTGCTGCTGGGGTCACAAGTGTGTGCCACACGCTTGAGTTATTTTTTCTATGTTTTATGTCAAATTAGTATTTTTTTTAAAAAAAATCATTTATTTATATTTATTATTATCTTTATTTTAGTTTTTCGAGATGAGGTTTTTCTGTGTAACAGTCCTGGCTGTTCTGGATCTCACTCTGTAGACCAGGCTGGACTAGAACTCACAGAGATCTGCCTGCCTCTGATTCCCGAGTGCTGGGATTAAAGATGTGCACCACCACTACCTGGCTCGCTCTTTCTTTCCTTCTTTCCTTCTTTCTTTCTTTCTTTCTTTCTTTCTTTCTTTCTTTCTTTCTTTCTTTCTTTCTTTCTTTCTTTCTTTCT